AGATCCATCTTCACCATGCTTATCATCATCATCTTTGATTATCCCTTTTGAGGACAACTTTGATGGGCTCACCAGCCCTAGGGATGTATCCAAATACTTCACATACAAAACCAGATACTACCTCATACTGATGTTTCTATAGAACAGCATGGTGAACAAAGAACAATGAATTCGAAATATGAAATTTAAAAGTTAAAGGAACATTTTGATAGTTATTTACAGTGTGAGATTAACTGTGGCTTTACTTCAAAATGAATTGAAAACCACATTGCAATTTTAACCATTTACTTTATCCTCTCTCCTTTTTTTTTCCATTTGTTTTTTAATTTTTCAAGCAGCGGTCACTTAACCATAATAATCCCACAATAGTCACAATAAACAGAATTTCACTCACAACTGGGATCAGAAATATCAAGTTTATAAGCCTGGCTATTTTTAAGATTCCTACGTTCAACTACTATGTGGCAGAGAATGAAATTTTAATGAGCCTATGGAAATAGCATGAGAACTGTACAATACAAGAAATAATCAAAGGTAGAAATGATCCTAATAACTGAGTCTTTAGCTTTAATGTTTAAATTCTCCATTCAGTGCTCTATACACCATAACAATGAAAACCAGTAATAGTATAGAGTAATATACCTCTAGCATTTCGATATTCAAGTGCTCAGCCAATAAATAGATGTATGGGCATGAACATCATATACTCCCTCTGCTCTCATTACAATATAGCCAGTTTTCTTCTGGATCTCCACCTGTTAATACAATTAGCAGCAAATGCATAAAATAAAAATCACTTGAGAATCATTATACATATGTATAAATGAATCACTTAAGAATCAAGTAGAGCTGAACCTTGTAACACTAATTGATATGAGACCTATAGAGTAAAGAAATATCTACATGACGTGAGAAGTGACATGAAATTCCTTGTTCACATGGAAAATACAGAAAAAGTACATGCCAAACTAAATGAGACTGGAAACTGGCAAAATAAAGCAGCATCTAGATCAATTGGTCTGTAGAAAATTAGCAGCACATGTACAACACCAATTTGTTTTGGACTTCATCAACAAGTTTTCTTAGCATCCCCTTGCTGAGGAATAATAGAATCCAATATCTAAAGTTATCTATATCTAAAGGGGGCAATTGCCTGGGCCTTCCAAACAAAATCAAGTAAATCCATTGCATATGCCATGCCAACTATGTTGTCAACAAGTTCCTCAAAAACAGGAAGCCTGTAAACAGAAATCTTTCAACAAGTTTCTTGAGGGAGACAAAGCCTTAGAGATGAATTACCAATTCCCTACCTTGTGAGTCACCCACAGACGTTGGAAATCAACAATAGTTGCACTTACATCAATTGCAACCATCATCAACAAAGGGTGTCATTACCTCTCCAACATGAGCATCCTTCATCTCTAATACACTTCCAATCATATCCTGCAAGGAATTCGTAAAGTTAGAGCATCTGAATTGTAAACAAGCAGAAAGACACCTGTTGGTAAAAAAATTAAATTGAATTTCCACTAGAATCTGATTTTAAAACAGAAATTGGTAGAGAAATATAGGGCAAGGAAAAGATATGCTCTACTGTAAACGTGCAATCACAATCAAGCATAGATGATACTGATCAATTTGATCTCACTAAAAGAATTCAGAAACTGAAGAAACTTTCTAATTCTTATTTGAAACAAAAGAGACACTCAGGCTAGTACAGTAAAGAAATATTAGCTTATTTCACTACTTGCTCTTCCTCCTCTATTGCTCCACTCAACTCCGCCCCACCTAGCATCAGCTTTAATTCATCTTCAGTTACATAAGGTTCGCTAATTTAAAGAGAAAACATGCAAAGCATTCATAAAGCAGTCAATACAAACTTAACAAACAACTAGAAACAAAAAATGTAATAGACAAAAACAAGAATATGATTTCCTTCACCTTTTCCCTTTTAGACCAAGTAATTTAA